GTTTTAAGTATGCTGACAATGATCCGTCTGGCATCCAACTCCGTAAGTCTGATCCGGGCTATGAAGAACTGAGATTTTGTTCCCACCTCTTTAAGGTTTGCTTCCCTGCCTAGACACCTGCAGGGACCTCTCAGTAACCTAAGATCTGGAGTTGGGAGGAGAAAACCAACACTGCCCTCCATCCTGGACACCTGCCATCTTCAGGGAGTGAGTGCCCATTTCAAACCAACGCTGACCATCTAGGCCCCTGGGTGGAGGGGGTTTGTCTGTGACCTGAAGAAGGGAAAGGCTCATGTCTGGGTCCCAGTGACAATGAATTTGGAGGATACTGTCCATCACAGGGAGTCCTGGGTTATCAGATAGACTGAGAGCCCCTCTCTGCTTCATCGCCTACAAAGTGGCTGGCTGTGCCTCTTTGCATCCAAGGAAGGGACCCACCGTGGCCCAGTAGCCTCTGCTACATAGAGGGCCAGGAGACACTGCCTACCGAATGCAGAGAAGCCAGGAGCACACACCTCAGGTTGGCCTGCACAGACAGAGGCAAAGTTCTGAGGGTCTGTGTATGCTGCTGGCAGGCAGTAAGTTTGTCAGGGATGCAGAGCAAGCAGGCTTCTAATTCTGGGCCCAGGAGCTGTCCAGCACAGATACTGGTAAAGTGCTCCGGGTGGTAAATTTGTTCAACCTATCACCCGAGATTGGCCAGCAGGTGGCAGCAAAGGCCACACTCTGACCTGGCTTTCACAGGCCTGTTAGAACAGGGCAAGGATATCTAGTTTCCAGAAGTCCTCTATGGCAGAGCAATGGAGAAGACTATGCTCCCCGCCCGCCTCCTCTCCCACGCGTGTGCGAGCGCACGCACGAACACACACACACACACACACACACACACACACGAAGACACTTTCTTTGCTAAAGCAGGGACCAGAAACCAAGGCTCCTTGGGAATAAGAGATGGGTCCCAGTCAAGCTTTACTGGACAGGATCTGATGTCCAGGGAAGTGCTGCCCTTGGGGGGTACCCCTCCCCTGGGATGCAGCCTGAGACCTGCACTCCTGGCATCTCTATCTCAGGAGGTCAGTGGGAGGCTCGGGTGCCAATCAGTGCTTGGAAATCTGTTCTGAGTTCTGCACTTGAGATCTGCTGAGCCACTACCTGCACCTGCTTCCAGGTTGAAGCCGCGGCAGAAAGCTAAAGAGGCCACAGCTTCACACAGACACAGGGAGTGGGTGTTTTCTTTTATGTCACCAACCAGCTCCCAAATGATGCCACAAAGACAGAGTATTAGTGTTGAGTAACTTAGGTCTGGCTAGCTCTTTCAACTGAAATGAGCCTGTTCCTTCTCATCTCCCTTTTGCTTTGGGGCTAATTACCTTTCTTCTCCACATCTTACAATCACTACTTGTAGTAATAAGTGCGGTGGGGCTGTGTCCCCAACACCCTGGCCGCCTGGCTAGCTTATGCCCGAAATAACAACACACACTGCATTCATTTAAACACTGCTTGGCCCATTTCTATCTAGCCTCTTCTAGGCTAATTCTCGCACCTGGACTAGCCCATTTCTAATAATGTGTGTAAGCACCTCAAGGTGTGCTTACCGGGAAGATTCTAACCTACGTCCATCCTGGGTCGGAGCTTCATCGCGTATGCCCAGAAGAGCGAAGCAGGGCCTCTGCTCCAGAGAGCAGAACTGTCGAGTCTGAGCTCACTTCCTCTTCCTCCCAGCATCCTATTCTGTTTACTCCTCCCACCTATGTTTTAACCTATCAGGGCAAGCAGTTTCTTTATTTAATTAACCAATGACCTTCCTTCATCAACTGCTTCTCTGTCTAGCTAGTTGGTGGCTGCCTGGCTTCCAGTTCCAGGCTAGTCCCTCATTCTCTCCTCCTCCTGCCCTTGTCCCTCCTGTCTCTTGAGCCTAGATTCCTCTTTGTGTTTATTCTTTCTACCTGCTAGCCCTGCCTATCCTTTCTCTGCCAAGTTATTAGCCATTCAGCTTTTTATGAGACCAATCAGGTATCTTAGGCAAGCAAGATGAAACAGATGCAATACATTTTTACATAATTAAACACACATTTTTACCTAGTTAAATGTAGCAAATCTTTGCCTAGTTAAAATGATATTCCACAACAGAGTGCTTTCTGGAACCATAAGACGAGCTGGGTTTTACTAGAAGCCAAGAGGTCAGCCCTCAGCCTAGCAGTGAATGCCTTTAATTCCAGCACTTGGGAGGCTAAGGCAGGAGGATCACAGTTTTGAGGAAACCTGGGCTACATAGTGAGTTCTTGTCTCAAACAAGAAAAAAACAATGTAGAGGTCCACAGCACACAAATGTTGGGACAGTGTGCAAACATTGGATCTTTCCTTACACCATGCGGGTCCCAGAGATGAAATTCAGACTGTCAAGCTTGGGGGCAAGGTCTTATACCTGCTGAGTCTTCTTGCAGTCCTTTTCCTTTGTTTTATTGAGACAGGGTCTCACATGTTCCAGGTTGTGCTGTCGGGCAATGCTCTTGTTCACTGTAAAGGTTTGTCACTAATATTGGTTTAATAAACACTGACTGGCCAGTAGCCAGGCAGGAAGCATAGGCAGGGCAACTAGACTAGAAAGGCAGAGATGCGTTACCAGTCAGAAGCAGAGGAAGCAAGACGAGAACGCTTTACTCTTGGTGTAACTAAGGAGTTTTGAAGAAAATGAGGTGCAAAACTGAAGCTGCTAGTGCCCATGGCACCAGGACACGGGAGCCACTGTAAAGCACAAGGAGTCTGAAAGCATGGGGTGGAGGGACAGAAACCCACAAGAACAGACTGTAGGCTTCCAGCATCAGGACTTAAACACTTATTTTTCATGCAACACAAATCCTGTGAGTAAGTACTTTGTGAAGAGTTGTGCTCACATGGAAGGAACTTGGGGTGGTTAGCTTCTGATGAACAAGGTTACAGTTTCCAGCCAAAATATTTAAAGGAAACATAACATGCAGCTTCTACTGGGAACTTTACTACATAACTGAAGCACTTTCTTAAACTGTCAGATACCTGCTGGCAGTGTGCGAGAACATGTCCTGACATTGCAGACTCCTCTAGAACAAAGGTTTTTTCCTTCCAAATCAAGTGCCCACAGGAGCCACACACGCCACTGCCACCCTTCTGTTCCCAACTGCCATGTAGACAGAAGCAGTTTTAACTTAAGACACAATGAGGCCATCCTGTCATGGTTTGAACACACACACCCTGAACACTGCCACTCACCTTTCATCTCCCACTGGGGGCCAGTGCTGGAAAACACGGACTTCGCAGTGACACGGTACATTCACGGTGACTGTCCACCACCTCCAAATGTAATCAGCTGTATTGTCACTGAGCACTCAAATGTGCCTGGGATAGAAACTGAGGCTTATAGGGCCCATGGGTCTACCCCTGCTCCCAGGGTTCATTTTGAGGACAGTCTCTGACCAGCCAGCCTTTCCTGTTTGTTCCTGTGCTCCCTCAGCCGGCTTGGTGATTTAGCTGTAGGGCATTGTTGACTCCACCTTGGGTGTGGCAGTTTTCCCGCCTGCCTAGGGGGAATTCCTTGTGCAGCAACTAGGTATATAAGGGTTTTCCCAAAGTTGAATAAACAGCATTCGGCTGATCTCCTTTGGAATGACCCAGGTCTCTTGTGTGTCTCCAAGCCCTTGCCCAACTCACATACAGTACAGTGGCACATGAACTGTATCGAGAAGGTAACACAGAACAGGTGATATCAGGAATTACAGATGTTACAAAGCTAATTAAAAATAAACACACTCAATTACCAGAAAATTCTTAACTATATTTTAAACAATGTGGGCAAAATATAAATTCGCTGTTTCACAAGCGAACGTGAACAGTCGGGCCTTGAACTTGTGATCTGTATCTCAGCTTCCCAGTTGCTGGCACTACATGGGCAACACCAGTTCAGCTGAGTATTTAAAAATACTGACGCTATGTAACTGAAACAGTATTCAGGAATACATAGACTACATTATAAAACAAACACTATAAAAATTACTACTGAAATTTCTTAAATCTGCAGGTGGCTCATGTTCAAAACACCTATTCTGACAACAGTAGGAGCCGACACAACTTCCCTTCCTACGAAACACCGCTTTTCTCATCTACTTCATAAGCAGCATTTACCCATCATCTTTTACCCCTCCACCTCGCCCAGGCTTAGGCTTTGTAAGCCAGTTGGCTCTGGGCAGTTCTGGCTTAGGAGTGCTTATTTCTTGGCAGCTTTTGAAGGAGATACTGACAGGTTAATCAAGCCAGTCACACTTCTGTGTTAGTTAAACACCCTGTCCTGCACAGGTGACATATGTGTGACATTCCACCAAGACTGTTGCACCTACATACACCACCTTCTTCCAGGGTCGAGGACACAGGACAGCACATGGCATGTTGGCAAATCAGACTGTCCCTGTGTCCAGTTCTGCTCACCCAGATTCTCACACTCGAAGCTAATTCATAGGAATAAACTCGCCAAATCAAAGACAGTGAGTTTCTCGGGTTGCTTAGACAGACACATGCTTCCGAGCAGATACTCCACGACAGTGTGCGAAGACACCGCCTACCTGTGCAGTGTTCTACCCGAAACTGTCAGTAGGACCGTCTGGGATTGTTCAACACAAGCGTTTCTACAGGTAACTAAGCAAACCACCCCAATGGAAAGACACATCAGGTCACCAAAAAGTCAAGAGATCAAGGTGTTGGAAGGATGGAGGAGCAAGATGGGTTTTTGTTTGTTTAGTTCTTATTTTTTTTGGGAGGGGAGCGTTTCTTTAGTAGGGTATGCTGCAAGGGTGAGGGGCAGATTTGAGGGACTGAGAGATGAGTAGGATTGGGGTACACGCTGTGAAATTCCCAAAGAATCAATAAAGAAACATGTTAAAAAATACCGTGAAACTTCTCAAAATGCTATCCAGTTTGAAGAAAATCATTTAAGTTACGCAAAGAATATGAAATTATAAATAATCACTCAAGTCTAAGTTCAAAAGTACATTTATTTAAATGTGAGCAAGTTATCAATATAAAAGAAAAGTGTAAGAAATAAAAATAATCAAAGTACAAAACATCTCAAATCTTACATCCATAATTTAGACAGCAAAGTCTTTATTTACATAATTTTATTTGTAGATGAAATTTCATACAGTTTTCTGAAAACACATAAAAACCTGGCAAATTAATAATCGAAGACTTAATGTGGGCTCTTAGGCATATAATACAAAACATAATTTATGTTTCCTAGAATAAGATCACACATCTTAACACGATGCAGTCAGTATTACATCTGTCTTCCTGGTAGAGGTCTCTCCCTAAGGCAGAGCTGGAAAACAAGCCCTCTGCAGGGAGGGAGTCCTGGTGCGCACGCTGCCAGCAGCTACCCTTGTGCCCCAGGCTCCAGGCCCACAACACACAAGAGGCCGTCAATTAAATTTATATGTGGCCTTGTTGAGGAAAACAGACTTCATACACAGGGTAGCAGGGTCACAGTAAGTCAGAGCCTTTATGTGACAGGCAGCTCTAGTGAGCACCTCCCACCAAGACAGTTAGTCCATCCCACACTCCAACACTTGGGTCTTATCAACCCCCACCACTGCACACTGCAACACCCGGGTCTTATCAACCCCCACCACTACTGCAGACTGCAACACCTGGGTCTTATCAACCCCCACCACTGCACACTGCAACACCCGGGTCTTATCAATCCCCACCACTGCACACTCCAACACCCGGGTCTTATCAACCCCCACCACTGCACACTGCAACACCCAGGTCTTATCAAACTCCTCCTATTGCACACAACACCCAGGTCTTAAAAACTCCCGTGCACATGCACAGGCTCTCTAGCTGAGATGCTTCAGCACACCTGCCTCCCATCACTGCCCCAGCTCAATGGCTACCCAAAGGGAGGTTCCCACCAGGCACTCATGCTGGCTCCTAGCACTCTTTGTACCCAGTGCCACCCAGCTAAGTCTTCTAGCCCACATTTTACTGAGCTCTCCGAGGCTAAGAGGAAGTGTTTGGTAAATAAACTTAGCTGGTGACACTGTAAAGATGAAGGGCCAGGGATGACACCACTCTGACCTGGATGCAAAACATAAAACATGGGGACAGATCACACACTAAAGCAACCACTCAGCGGGGCATGGTGCCTCACGCCTGTAAACGCATGCCAGTACTCAGCCGAAAACAGGAGGATCAGTGTTGAGTTTGAAGCCAGGCTGGGATACATAGTGCCAGGCCAGCCAGCAACACAGTGAAACCTCTCAAAAATCTCTATCCTTCTCAAACTAATACTGGCGATTGTTTGTTGTGAACCATAAACAGTCTGACACGCTGCACTTCTTGCCTGACAGCCCAAGGAGCCTTAAGCCGACCCCGCCACAGCTGCAACTTACACGATGCTGCTATCAAGCTGTGCAGTGTAGAACACACCTCTCGGACGCTGGCCCCCATCATTTTCTATGGGGCCTATCAAATCCTGGAACACCTACATGAGCCAGACAGGTCCTTAGTTTGTCACCTGCTGACAGAACTCTTAAAAGCACTACAGACTGTACACTACAACAGCAAGAGAAAGGTCTGGTGACAAGAACCATGGTGTCCCTTTTTCAATCTGCAAATGCACCTTCATCCTTGCCTGTCCCCACTATGCGCCTTCGTAAAGGATATGATTCATAGTCCAGTGTCTGTGTGAGCACTCCAGTCAGAACAAACTCTGCATTATGAACATCTGAATGAACAGAACCAAAACCATTAGGACAAAGCTACTGTGAACATGCGCAAGCCACTGCAGAGGCGTGGGGAGCCATACCTATTCCTCTGGCAAAGTACTCTCGACATAAGTGCAGGTCATTCTCACAGGATATTAAAATGATCTCCGACAGACTCTAGAAGGAGAGAGAGCTCATGAGTGAAGGAAAGATGCCCGTGCGTGACAGGGCTGGCTTCTCGGGCGGGGCTCTGCTCCCTTACCTTATTCTGTTTGTGCTCCATGAGCTTCCGGAAGGACGGCTGCTTGGACAACACCTTTCCCCCTGCGCACTCTACGATCGCCTTCATAGTTGCAAGGCTCGGGCAGATGCCAGGGGTGATGTAGAAGTACTTTGTCTAGAAATAAACAGAAGCGTGCTTTTTACATGTTTTTAATTGCACATAACTTCTCATAAATCAGACCCTGAGTCTTGCGTGTGTGTTTTTGCTTTTTGAGGCAGGTTCTCTCTCTATAGACCTGGTTGTCCTGGGACTTTCTTTGTAGACCAGACTGACCTCCACCTCACACAGATCTGCCTGACTCTGTCTCCCAAGTGCTAGAATTTAAAGGCATGGGCCATAATACCCAGTTCTGAGATTCTTAAAAAAATATTTAATTTTCTACAACTATTATTAAGGTTAGATTCCCCACCAGTTCACTACCTCTCCAGACATACACAGAGGGAGTTTTATGGACTATGGCCCATGGTCATCAGTAAAAGTAACCACAATTAGCTGCTTGGGATTGATCTGCAGACATTAATAATAAACTCAGAGTCCAATAATGCACTGCGTGTTGCATCAGGATGGAAATCTAAAGAATTCCCTTGATGTCATGTAGCCAAAAATTTGAATATTCTACTTCTCTCTCTACATGTCTTCCATCCTCTTCTCTTTACTGTATGAGTCTGAATCTGTGCCTGTCTGAAGGCTATCTTGTGAACCTGCCCTGCCCCTTGGTCTGTTTCTGTCATTCACAAAGGTTTCCCTTGCCCTTCATTGAACAGCATGGAAATCAACACAGAAGGCACCACCCACTACCAACCAGCAATTCAGAGAACACAGTACTATAGACATGGCTGTTTATAAAGAGTATCCAAATGCTAGACTCAACATTTATGGTGGATATTTGTTAAGATGGCTTTCAGCCTATCTGCTGCTTCCAGCAAAGATTATCAGAACACACATTCAACACAGGCATCATTCTGAGATCAGAGGTTTGGAAGAAATAAGTTAAGTACAGCTATGCATTAGCTTAGGTTGAAAAGGTTGGTTACATGGGAAATCCAAGGCAATTACTTAGATTGGCTGTTACACTGCTATTGCCCACTCTCATGTGTGCTCTCTCTCTCTCGTTTTTCAAGACAGGGTTTCTCTGTGTAACAGCTCTAGCTGTCCTGGAACTCACTTTATAGACCAGGCTGGACTTGAACTCACAGAAATCCACCTGTCCCTGCCTTCTGAGTGCTGGGATTAAAGGCGTGTGTCACCACAGCCTACACTGCTTTCTTAAAGGCAGGTTAAACAAACAGGCTTGGTACACAGCAGGACAGAGTCTTAAGTAACCCCAACGTATATTATTAGCTCTACTGTAAGGTCCAGTAAAAGTTCCATTCTTTTAGAATCTAAGATATTTTTATCATAGTGCCTTGCCACAGCTGTGCCAACTACTACAAGAACCAAAGCTTTCTATGCCAAGGCAGAATGACAGCACGTATTTGCCAACCTGTGTAAAATCCCAAGGTAGCATGGCATTTGGCCACGGCTGTCTGCCCAACAGGGGCTGCTTCGACTACAAACAGAATGGGAAATTATACCGACACTGCTTTCCTAGGTTTATCACAAAACCCTCACACAAACAGGTAAACAATTTGAAAACTCAACCCCTTGGAGGTAAAATTGAATCATTCCTAAGATTTGGAAGATCATTCAAAGATCAAATACTTTTTACTGACTACTTATTCTTTGATACAAAAATTACTTCCCAACTGTCCCAAGTCTCTTATCTGGCAAATATTTAAAATATTGACTTCTAACCAGTTCAGTTATTCATCAATACTCTTGAATCCCTTCTCTGACAGATGTACTCATTAGGTTATTGTAGCAATTTCTTCATCAGAGCAAAGAGTGATTCCGACAGCCAAGTGTGGTGGCACACAGCTTTAATCCCAGCACTCAGGAGAAGAGAGACAAGAGGATCTCTGTGAGTTGATGGCCAGCCTGGTCTACATAGCAAGTTTCAGCCCAGTCTGGTCTAGAGGGAGACTCCATCAATTTGCCAAACTCCCTTGCAGAAAGAGTAGCCATGAAGCGGAAAGGACAACTGGGTGATCCCGGCCATCACCTGCGTCACTATCACATCTACTTAGCTCTGTGGGGCTTTCCTTCCCAGCATACCTTAAAGAGGGGAGAAACATGGGCTCTCTTTAAGGATTCTTCTAGACTGAAAGAGAAGAGCACTTCTGCCTCAGCATCTCGCAGGATATAGTTCTGCTCATCTGGAAAACAGAACAGTGTTCAGAACAGTCTGAAAGGCACAGCCCTGTGTAGAGGCAGGTCCATATAAGGCAGTATACACTACCCACAATCACACTCACCCTGCCACTTAGGTATTGTCCTGACTAATTTTATGTCAACTTGACATAGGTTACAGTCCTCTGAGAAAAGGGAACCTCAAATTGCCTGCTGTGGTAGTTGGAATGTAACTGGCCTCTATAAGCTCAAAAGAGTGGCAATATTAGATATAGCCTGTTGGAGGAAGTGTGTCATTGCGGGGAGGGGGAACTTTGAAGTCTCCTTTGTCCAAGGTCCACCCAGTGTGGACACAGACTAATTAGGCTGCTGGTGGATCAAGATGTAGAACTCTGAGCGCCTTCTCCAACGCCATGTCTACCTGCACCTGCCATGTCCCACCATGATGATAATGAAACTGTAAACCACCACAATTAAATGTTTTCCTTTATAAGAGTTGCCACGGTGGCCAGGCGATGGTGTCGCATGCCTTTAATCCCAGCACTCGGGAAGCAGAGACAGGTGGATCTCTGTGAGTTCGAGGCCAGCCTGGTCCACAAAAGCTAGTTCCAGGACAGGCTCCCAAAGCTACAGAGAAACCCTGTCTCAAAAAACAAAGTTGCCATGGTCATGTGTCTTCACAGCAATAGAAACTCTAACTAAGACGTAAGATCAAACAATATGAAAGACTGTAGGACATTTTCTTTATTAGTGTTTGAGGAGGGAGGGCTCAGTGCATTTCGAGTAGTTCACCCTGGACTGGTGGCCCTGGGTACTAGAAAAGAACAGGCTAAGAAAGTCATGTGGACCATCCCCCTAAGTAGCACTCCTCCACGACCTCTGCATCAGCTCCTGCCCCAGGTTCCACCCTGCTTTGGTTCCTGTCCTGGCTTCCTTGCATGCTGAACTGTGATAGGGTCATGGTATTTCACCACAGCAATAGTAACCGTAACTAAGACAGATGTTTCTGTCTCACTCACCTCCCTTGGCAGCAGCAGGACTACAAGAGTAGGTAAGAGTTCTACCACAGAGCTACACTGCGGCCCCCAGGGTAACTAATAGGAAGCTTCCTATTGGAGCTTCCACAGCTCATCAACAGGCCCCAATGAAAGAATGTTGTTGTTCTTCCTGTTGACAGCTAGGTGTTCTTGTCTGAGACTTTACGGTGCAGTAGGAACTGCATTTTATAGGCAAATTTCCAAATGAAATGCACCAAGGACAATGCTGCACAGCCTGTCTTCTCCCGGGATGTATTCAAAGACTAAACCTTTATGTCTTGTAGCAGAATACAAAGATGTCAATCAAAAAAATCTCTGATAAGAAATAAACTTATGAGCGAAAATGAATAAGTAAATGCAAGTAAAGCCCCGACTTTGCCATGCGTAAACGAGCAAGCGAGCGCGGCGGGCGCGATAGGCACAGCACCCACCAATGAACTTTTGGCACTTGAAGCACTCCTCTAGCCACTCCGGAGTCACGATGTGCTTCACCACCGAGATGGCCGTCAGGAACTTCACGGTGCGTGTCACCTTGCTGGCGATGAGGTGGGTACACTTCTTCGTGGACTCAGCAACCTCTCCACCCAGGATGTACAGCTTCTGAAGCCGCAAACACAGCAGAAAGTCACGCGAGAGAGACCAGACCCAGGACGGGACTTGATAGTGCCCTCCTCAGCTGCACTTAATGGCAGGAAAAGCAAACCACAGGAGGAAAAGCAGAGCACCTCCAATGGCTGCCTCAGCAGCCAGCTCCATAAAACCTGTGCCCAAACGAACTCTCCAGAAGTCAGTAACTCCCATCTAAACAGCCTGAGGCTCCAGGGCTCACTGCATTACAGATACTCTATGCTGAACCAGAGAATAAGAAACACATGGACCCCCATCTCCATCTTAATGGGGACATACTGGGAGACTGAAGCATATGCATGTAACAGAGACCTTGTAACAGCCCTGCTATGAATTGTACTAAATTTATAGCAGCAATGTTAGTCATGGCTTCCTTTAAAGGAATAGCTAAAGAACTCAGTGGGTAAGGGCATCTACCATCAAGCCTGACGAACAGTCATTTCTGGGATCCACAGGCTTGAAGGGAGAACTGACTCCTCCAAGCTCTCCAGATGTACACTGTGGTACATGTGCGCCACCCTGCCGCCAACACACACAGAGCACACCAAGTAAATAATTACTCTGTAAGCAGAAAGTGTATGAATACATAGAGAGTCAGGGAATTTTTGACCATCTTCCACCAAAACAAAACTAGCAGTTACCAGAGCCCACCAACCTCTCTGGTGTTCTCTCAAAATGTCTACTTATGAACGTTCTATTATCACTGTGCAAACCCACCCACCCTACCCCCAGGGCGGCCTCCTCCTTCACCAGAGAACTAATCTCAGATAAGTGAGAAGTTCTCAGAAAAGTGACAGAAAAGAAAGTCTTCATAAAAATAACATTCAGATGACCCAGACTTTTATGTTAACAAAAATCCTAGTAACAAAGAAGGAAATAATGGCACTCGACAAGGCGACCAACATCAGCGGGGCTGTAAGGGCGGGCGGTTCCTGATTCAACAACCACTGCTGACGCTACTCAGCAGGGAGGGTGCCTACATGCAAGCTAGTCAAGCACTCTACCCAGTGACAGCCCTAATAGGTGCTACGCTAATAAATGTCTAGCCTAAAGCAAATACAAGCAGAGAAAACCCTGCTGAAACCGTCACCTTAATGTACTGCTGAACCTGCACAGGCTCAAATCCAGTGAAAAGCACGTAAGGCGTCAGCTCTGGGGTCAGCTTCTTAGTGGGGGGTGGCAGGTCTTCGATTCTGTGATGGAAACACAGGACAGTGAGGACTTCAAACAGTGCTCTTTAGGGAACCCAGAACTTAACAAGCTTTAAGAGCTTGAGTGTTGGGGGAGGGGAGACTGTGACAGCTGGTGTCCTTTTCCTCCCACCAACTAACATACAGTTCCACTCCAAAGGTGCCACCTGAAACACCCAAGAGAAGCAAGGATTCAGATCATCCTCGCTAAGAACAATGCTCTCAGGTGAGCATGGAGGTACAAAATTCCAATCCCGGCACTAGGGAGATAGAGCCAGGAAGATCAATTTAAAGCCAAATTTTAATATTTTCATATTTAATATTTTGCTGTGGGATTGGCAAAACCTAGAGCTTCACCACACTGGGCAAGGGCTCCACAACTGAGTGTATCCCAGTTCCCTGTATCAAGCTTTTATAAAAAGTCTCAAGTGACTTTGCTGTTATAGTCACAATGAGACTGAGAGCGTGTCCTGGCACTTACACACTGTGAAATTCTAGCCCCATCTCCACAGGGCACAGTTGAAGGAAAAGCCTTTGGCCTTTACATTTACCTTCAATTTCTCAAATCTTATTTCTCAGTTTGTATGGAAATGAGGTGGTCAGGGAAAACTTCCCACTTTACCTGTGGCTATTTCAATAGTCTTGCTCAGCTGTGCTCTGGGTGTGGGGAATGAGGAAATGCTGACTGCAAAGGCCCCCAAGAGCCACTCTCAGCAAGTACAAAGTGGACCAAGGGCTCTTGAAGGTCACAGAGGTACCACAGCCCTTGTCTTACTCCTGTTGGCTGTGGCTTTCTACTGGGGGGGTGGGGGGGGGGCAGGACTACTGGACAGCCACGCGGCCTCCAGATGAGCCAAAGAATACACATGTCACACCCAATCAGCAAGCAGCGTGCAAAGCACAGAGTCTCTCAGAGATATCTGGGCTTTCCTTCCCAGGGTAGGCTCTCTGAGAGCGTTCAGCTCTGAGCTGCACAGCCACATGCATGGCCCAGCACACAGTTCAGGTGCACTTGGAGCGCTTTGCAGGGGCAGCCTGGCTCCCCACAGCAGCTGCAGCTTCAAACATGGTTTGGGTAAAGCTTTGCTTAAGAAAACAGTTCTAGATTTTATTATTTTCAATAAACAAGAAAGAAACGTGCTTAATCACTTAGTACCTCTCAAAAGAGCAGCTGCGGGAATGCCATTTCACGATGAATTGTGAGCCGGATGTACAACTATGTGCATGGGTGTTTGCCTGCACGTGTGCCTATACACCACGTGCATGCCTGGTGCCCACAGAGGCCAGAAGAGGGCATCAGAGCACCTAAGGACTGGACTTATAGGCAGCTGTGAGCTGTCATGTGGGTGGTGGGAACTGAACCCAGGTCCTCTACAGAGCAGTCAGTGCTCCTAACCACTGAGCTGTTTCCAGCCTCTCAAACACAACATATTATAAAAAATTCTTCAGAAGCCGGGCAGTGGTGGCACTGGATACCTTTAATCCCAGCACTTGGAAGAGCTCCAAAGCTACAGAGAAACCCTGTCTGGGAAAGGGGGCGGAGGGGGGGGGATCCTCTTCAGAAACATTTGGCAGTTGGCACCAGTCTTCCACAGCAGACCTGTAATGTAAGGGGCTTGCCCTGCTGCACATACCTGGCTCGTTTAGAAGAAGGTTGGATGTTGGTGACCTCATTTGGCTTCAGCTTAGGGGGTAATCTTACACCCTGTAATTAAAATATTGTCCGCTTCAATCAAACAATCTCCAAGAATACAGAAGCTTTCAAGACAATGTCCCCACCATCTTCAACACCACCCACCAGAGAGAACCACGGCCTTCACTGCTAGGAAGGCTAGGAAGCCACGGGCCAGGAGCAAATGCCAACACCCTCTCTCTCCTTTCCTACTCCCCAAATCCCTCGATACTTAAAACACCTGCCTACTGCCCTTACCTCTCACTGCATAGAGAACCTGAACCATCAACTCCTGTCTTTATTTCAAGTATTATGTCCTGTGTCCCAACTTGGAACACGGCAAACACTATCAGTGCAAATACACCTCCCTAAACAAGACTACCTACAACAGAAAGTCAGGTGACAATAAGATCATGCTGCCATGGATAAGGTGAGGGGCTAACCCTAGCAAGACCTCATGCACCAGAACCAGTCGTCCAAGCCCCTCCCCGTGCCGTCCCACTTCAGCAAAAGGCCTTATCCAGCAGCCCAAGCCAGTGCCCCAGGACAGAAGCATGCCAACAAGACAAGGAGAGTGGAGACTGCCTGTGGGCAGGCCCCACCTCAGGTGCCACCTACACTATACCACACTGTTCATTCCTTCACACTGTAAACTCAGAGGTTCAAAGACAGCCGGTGCAACTTAGTAAGACCTTGTTTCAAAATTCATAAAAAGGGCTGGGTGCAGAACCACTGCCCAGCACGCCTGGCACTGACAAATCTCCAGCACCACCAAATCAGCAAAATAAACCCCAAACCCTACCACCTTTCCTTGCTCACGTCACTGCACTCACGATCCTTTTCTGAATCTGGCTCAGACTCACTAACTACAAGTCACACCACAACCAAGAAAGCCAAGCACACCTCCCCTGTACTGTGCACTTAGCAGCCTCTGAGGCCAAAGCAGCATACCACACACTGTCTGCAGGAAGGTGAGGACTCCTTTTGTCACAGCCTGTCCAAAACTCCTCTCCACCATTTCCACAGCTCCCCTCAGCCAGGAGCGAACCAGCCTGTCCAGGAACTACAGAATACAAAGGCCCCAGAGACCAGCCCGGGAAGCCTGCCCACTTCTTATGTGAGCCATGTGGCTTGTGAGAGATGACTCTAACTGCCACTTTGTCATCTGGGCCCACCTTAGGAATTCTTTCACCACATGAGCAGGGAAGACATTGGCTTTTGCCGATGTGTCTGAGCTGGCCACGCTCTTTTAAAGTCCTAATTACTAGTTTAAGCTAGAGAAAAATATGCATCATGACAGACTGGGCTTCCTGTAAGAGTGTGAATCAGCAGGCCCTGCAACAGCCTGAAATCATCTCTGTATGTTACAGAATGCGCACAAGAGGGCTGAGCATGACAATACACACCTTTACTCACAGCACTCAAGAGGCAGATCTGTGAGTTCTAGGCCAGCCCAGGCAACATAGCAAGTTCCAGGACAGCCATGACTACATAGTGATTTCCAGGACAGCTAGGGTTACTTCAAGAGATCCTGTTTTAAACAAACAAAACAAACTGAAACTAAGGTCTTGCTATGCTGTGTAGGCTGGACTTAAACTCCTACCCCTTCTACTTTGGTCTCCTGACTAGCAAGAACTATACAGGTCCACAGCCCATGTGATTGGCTAAATAAGTCCATTTTTAAAAACAATACAAGTTAAACAAGACATAGTAGCTTGCACTTATAATCCTAGCACTCTGGTCATTTTTCAGGTATACAAAGGCCAGCCTGGGTTCTTCATGGGACCAATCTCAAAACACACAACAAATGGAGGGGGGACCTATAGGAGTCAGAGGTTGGGAGGTATGATGGCCAGTATCCTCTAGACATGACAGGGCCCTGCACTCATGAACTCACAGCTACTGACTGTCTGCATAAGACCTGTCTGTACAAGATACAGCATGGGGTAGGAGTGGGGATCAGGGTATGTGAGCACATGAGCCCTACCCCTAGTCAAGGAGCTTGTGACAGGTGATGGCTTCTTGGAAAGGGAGAGTCAAGTTTCCCTTAAGAATGTCCCAGGTAATGGAGGTGGGTGGTCCTTGGACTTCCCACCTGGCAGAGAACCCTGATTGCTTTTTGGGCTGACGAGGGAGGGGGACCTGATTGGGGGAGGGGGAGGGAAAGGGGAGGCGGCGGTGGGGAAGAGACAGAAATCTTTAATAAATAAATAAATAAATAAATTAAAAAAAAAAATGTCCCAGGTAGGTTGACCCACAGCCATGCAGATATGGGAAGCACTAATTAGATTCAGAGGGCTTTGTTTTTGTTTTTAGAGACAGGGTTTCTCTGTGTAATGCTGGCTTGTCCCAGAGCTTGCTCTGTAGGCCAAGCTGGCTTCAAACTCAGAGATCTAAGTATTCGGATTAAAGGGATGTGCCACCACTGGCCACCTTCAGTGGACTATTTCTTAAAAAATTTAAAAAGAGGATATGAAGTTAAGGGGACCTGCAGAGGATTTGTGGAGGGTTATGGGATTTGAATGAGAACAGCCCTATAGGCTCATTATTTGAAAGTTTGGCATTCAACTGATGGAACTGAACTGTTTGGGAAGGATTAGGAGGTATGGCCTTGTTGGTATGTTACTGGGGCTTTAAGGTTTTAGAAGCCCATACCTAGCCCAGTCTCTCTCTCTCTCTGTCTCTCTGTCTCTCTGTCTCTCTCTGTCTCTGTCTCTCTCTCTCTCTCTCTCTCTCTCTCTCTCTCTCTGTCTCTCTGTCTGTCTCTCTCTCTGTCTGTCTCTCTCTCTCTCTCTCTCTCACTGCATCTCGCTTGTGGATCAGATGTAAGCTCTAAGCACTGTTCTGGAGTCATGCCTGCCTTCCTGCTGCCATACTCCCTGCCATGATGGTCATGGACTCTAATCCTCTGAAACTGTAAGCCCCCAGTTAAATGCTTTCTTCTAGCCAGGCATGGTGGCGCACACCTTTAGTATCAGCACTTGGAAGGCTGAGGCAGGTGGATCTCTGAGTCTGAGGATAGCCAGAGTTGGGCAGAGAAACCCTGCCTCTAAACCACTCCCCTAAAAAGCTTTCTTTAAAAGCTGCCTTGGTCAGAGTGTCTCTTCACAGCAACAGAACAGTGACTAAGACAGGGATGAATAGGACTGAATTCTTATGAGTATAGGAAATACAATAGTAATAAATGAAAAACAAACTAAAACTACTTGTAGAAAACACGTTAATCCATCTGTGACAGGCATGCAGTCCTAAGCCCACACCAGTCGTTACCCAGCACAAAGCGCTGCTCTCCCCAAGGTGTGAGCTCATGACAACAACAGTGGGTCTCAAGAGAGTAAACACTAATACAAGGCCACAATCTCATTAAGCCTTAAAGGTAAGAATGTAGATAGCCCCTACCAGACAATCCGCAACTAACAACTTCCAGAATGTTCTATCCTGAAGAATAGAATATCCAAACATGACATGACCCTACCCAGGAACCCTCAGGAATATTCCCCAAGAACAGGGAACTCTTTGACTTGTGGCCTGTGTTGGTTCATACCTCTGCCACTTCCAGTGTCTCTGAAGGCCTTGCCCACTAGCTATGAAAAACAGCCACCATCTGATAGTTGTGTTCCTCGGTTCCTGGCGTGTGACACAGCTCTCTGAAGCTAGCAAAGCTCATGCACGCACAGGCCCACTCGCCGCCCGCACTGACAGTAGAGAAGCATGTAGACCGGTAGAAGACTGGTAGCCCTTCGTGTGCTACCAAACAAGAAGCTAGCACCCACAAACATGTCCACTGCGTTTGGGTAACACAGCAGCAGCCTCTGTGAGTGTGTGTGTGTGTGTGTGCAGGGAGTGTTGACACATACAGGAGTGACCACAGTGGGGTCTGCAGGGCTGACATTTAACAATATCCACAGTGAAGTATGGGCAGCTGACAATACAGAAATGGCCAATGTGGTGTGGGGAAGACATTCGGCAAAGGCCATTGTGGGGTGTGGGGCTGGCGTACCATCAAGAGCTCCGCAGTCACCTTCACTGGGACCCTCCATGCATCTGAAAGAGAAAGATGTCATCTTCCATATGGAATATCCATACAACCCTGCTGTAAGCCCTTCCTAGGCATGGAACCTGGCCACACAGGGCTTGTCCATAACACTCATTCAGGGCAAGTGTAGCTAGAACACTGTAGCTCGGGTTTCCAGGACAGGTGAGTCAGGAGTGGCTGATACTTCATACACCATGATTCCCCGAGGGTATCCCATCCTGGGGAGATTGCAGTTATTATAAGAGGTGCCAACAGGATCCACAATGGCTAATACACAGGTGCTGGCCACAGAGAGCAGCTTGTGCTGCACAACAGAACGGACCTGAGGTCAGGTATGCAGAGAAGCCTCTGTACGGACAGCCCAGGCAGTCCCTGTGCTACGCAACAGAACAGACCTGAGGTCAGATACGCAGAGAAGCCTCTGTACGGCCCAGGCAGTCCCTTGGGAGAACAGCTGCATAATGAAAGCTAAAGAAAATCTTTCACAGGATGGAAATCTTCTAAATAAAACTGGGCTTCTCAGGAGGTCAGAACACAATCTGAATAATGTTCAGTTCTCAAGGTCAGAATTAAAACCCAGTGCTGTGTAACACAGACATGAATTTTAAAGATGCATAAAAGCTCTTTAAAAAGAAAAAGACAGCTGTGTGTGCTGCATCTAATGCCCCCATCTTCCAGGGGACAGTCCTCCTCTGAGGGCTGGCCACACAAGGCAGGGCACCATCAGGGAGTGACAACACGTCCTAGTTTGACAGTGACGAAGGAGGCACGGCCTGAGAAAAAACGGAGTGTGTTCCCAGCTCTAAATGCCTCTCAGACACAAACCCAAGAGCCACACCAGGGGAGCAGAGATGTGCGGAGGGGACTAAACCAAACAGGTGGTGCCAACAGCTCTGGAGGCTATCACACAAGTGACAGCACGGGGCCCATCACTAACCTAAAAGACTTAAGACCAAGTGTGGAGTGGGCGCAAAGGGGTCCGGCAGGTTGAAGGCGGTGTAGCGGCCGAACTGCACCTGCCGCAGGGCCTCGAAGTTTCCCAGCAGAATGTCCCCCAGCCACTGCGCATTCACACACGGGATCCTCCACTCTTTGGCCTTCTCGTACTTCAAACCACTTGGTCTTTTTTGTGAGAAATCATAGTTATTCAATGTTAGTGTCATCTTACCATGAATTTTTGTCTGTTTTCAACAAAACTTAATTAAAAAAACAAAAAACTAATAAGTGGCAGGCATGTTTCCACAAAACTGCCAGTAATCCAAACTGGAGGCCAAGAGCAGTTAAGCCCAGTCTCCAGAGGGGTCAGTCTCTGACTTCATGTTCTATCATTCCATCTAGTCACCAAGTGAAGCCTTTTATAGATGTCTCTGCTGACAGGACCATACACAGTGATGCCTCTTTAAAAAGAGACAACGACTGTTTATTAAGAAAGACTGACAGACCAGGCATGGTGGTACACACACCTTTAATCCTAGCTCTAGTGATGCAGAGGCAGACGGATCTCTGTGAGTTCAAGACCAGCCTGATATACACAGTGAGTGCCAGGACAGCCAGCTACTTAGAGACCCCATGAAAGAATAAAGGCACCCCTGAAAGTAGGCTAACAGTGAGCTGGGGAGACCAGCACTCAAAGGCCTTTGTGTCAGTTCTTTCATGGACTGCTACTCTTGAAATTCATACAAAGTACAATGTATTAAGAAACCACCGCTGTGTCTGTGGGTACCACCCACTACCCGTGCAGTGGAGGGGGCTCAGTGAGCCTTCCCGGGAAATGGGGGGTTGAGGTGGATGGGTGGGGGAGATAGATGCACCTAGGATAATGGCAGGAGGCTAGCTTGCTGGCAATGGGGGGGAGGAGTACTGTACTGTTACTGACGTTTAATGGTTTTAATGTCCTGTTTTCAGTTGGCGTGTGGGCTTCATGCTGCCTTCAGTCCCCAAAAAAAAAGAAAAAAAAAAAAAAAGAAAGAAAGAAAGAAAGAAACCACCGCTGCCAGGCATAGTAATGCATGCCTAAGATCCCAGTACTTGGAGTTGGAGGCAGAAGGATTGCCCTAAGTTTAAGATCAGCCTGATTTACAAGAGGCCATACCTTCCCCAGACAAAGCAAACCACCCAACTATCTCCACATCCCTTTCCTTTGGGCAAACAGGATCGGCATGGCTTCCAAGTCCAGCTTACTCTTTACAGATGAGGACCGTGTTGCTACGGCACAGGTACCCTGTGTACTTGGCACCTGCCAGGTACGCCATTAGCTTCAGGTCATCTCTGTCATTGTCAACAAATCCGGTCACAGAGATAATCTGGTGAGAAAAGAGCAAATGAGATATGAATATCAAGTGGCTCTGATTCCACATTCTCATGCTCCTGTGGCATTAGGGGATGTATCTGGCACTACCATTTCTGAGAGCATCATGAGAATAACTTCACTGACAGAACATGAAGCATACAGCATCCTTGTGGCAAGAAGAGAGGAAGAGCTACATTCACAGGGTAGTATTGCTGGCTTCTGAGCAATGCTACTCAGATAATTTTAGGTTACTGTGCTGAGCACACACACAAAGAGCGGGTCTTTATTTTCCTCACTCATCCAGACTCTGGATCCTTGGCTGCAAGTACCCACAAGTGCTGACCAAGTTCTGCCCAACAGTAGCTGACACATCCTAGGATTTGAAATACTGACGAGGTACAATGATGTGTGTCTTGGGCCACTGCTACAGTGGTCACGGCATGCAGAGTCTGGGACAGAACTGTGGAAAGCCAAGCAGGAAAGAGGATGGGCCTCACATGCTGTGAACAGGGCTTGCCCCCAGGTGGGAACGCCACAGGGAAATGCAGGGCTCGATGGGGTGGCACCAGTTTCTTCTTCTTCAGGACTGTGTTGAGCCAGTGCGCAGTGACACACCGCTTCCTCTCCCGCAGTGCCTGGCAAACAAAACAACAATCGTATTGTCTCTGGCTCCTTGCTATACAACTCGGGAGAAAACAGTTGGCTTGCAGAATACAGCGCCACCTTCCCCGGTCCGGTGAATCAGAGTCCACCTCCAGAAGACAAGAGGGCCCTGCCTCCCAGGGCACCTACATACATTTCATGCACTCACAAAGAAACACATATACACATGACTAAAACTAAACCTTAAAGAAAAATTGTAGTCAAAAATGACACAACACAACACACACACCCCCAAGAGAAACTCTCTATCCCCTGCATAGAGAGCACGTACAGAAAACACACTCGTCGCCAGGCGGTGGTGGCTCACGCCTTTAATCCCAGCTCTCGGGAGGCAGAGGCAGGTGGATCTCTGTGAGTTCGAGGCCAGCCTGGTCTACAAGAGCTAGTTCCAGGACAGGCTCCAAAAGCTACAGAGAAACCCTGTCTCAAAAAAAAAAAAAATAAAATAAAATAATAACAATAATAATAATAAAGAAAATAAAGAAAAAGAAAACACACTCCTAAACTTAACCACAGAAGAGGAAGTTCACAGGACCTAACAAGGTGTTCCTAAAGTCACTGCAGCATCCATCTGCCAATCAGGAACATTTTTACAAAGAGAAGAAATGAAAACCTCAGGGATAAGGAGGTGATGCTGGGAGGAGCTTACAGTCCAGGGTTTACTATTGATCTTTCAGGATCTTACCCTCAGAAGCTCTTGCCCACAAAACCCCAAATGGTGCCAAGTCCCATCTTGACGGTCATCTGGACAGTGACTAGGAGGGCCTGCCCTTTCTCTGCCTCTACCTGGAACTTCCTGTTCCCTCCACTACCCAAAGCTGTCCACAACAGTATCTAGCCCAATGTGAAGTGAGAAGACAGTAGCTCACTTATCTAACATGCATGAGGTCCTCAGTTTGAGCCCCAAAACTGGGTACAATGGTGCATTTCTCTACCACTCAAGGAGTAAAGACAAAGGATCACAAGTTTAAGGTTGTCTTCTGCTATACACTGAGGTCAAGGCCAGTGTGGGTCACTGGACACTGTTCCACAGACATATTATGCACTTGCTTCTTGGGCTACAAATAACAATGCCTTCCAGTCACAGTGCCCAGTTGTTCTTACCTGTGCATACATACTGCTGACTTGGCTCTCGCAGAGGAGGTGTGTGCATCGGCTTGTGAACGTGGGGTCCACAGTGCCACCATGCGCTTGAATTATCTATACAAAAGACACAGAAAGACATGCCATCAGTTCCAATTATTAAGAATACTATAAGATTGCAATTTCAACCCAGACAACAATAAAGAGAAGCCAGGGTGCACTGGCATGGCCCATTCACCACAGGACAAGCAGTACCTAATGGTACATTCACAGACCCTTCCCCCAGCACTCCAGAGTTACTTCACAGAAAGTAGAACGCAACGTTCTTAAAACCGAGCCTCTTTACCTCGGCACTGCTGACATTTAGATGGGTGTCGTGTGTGGTGAAGCTGCCCGGGTGGTGCACAGTGTCCAGTTCTCTCACCCTGACTTCTCTCTGGGCACCACTGGTGTCTCTTCCAACTACCAAACGCTCCTAGAGCAGATAGACCCACTGTCCTTACAACCTTCACACTGTGACAGAAGCCACATCGGAAAGTAGTGTGTCAAAACTACATTCGAGGGGCTGGAGATGCCTCAGCAGAGATGAATGAGTACTGCTCTTCCAGAGGGCTCAAGCCTGGTTCCCAGCACCCATGCATCTGCCTGCATCTCTAGCTTCAGGGGACCCAATGCCTCAAGCCTCAGTGGGCACTGTACACACACGTACACAAACTGTACAGTTGTGGAGAAGGAACTATTCTATCCTGATGCTGGTTTTCTCTGGGTATCAGTCAAAAGGCTGCCGCCACAGAGAACTGGACATTACTACATAGCTGCTGAGATGTAAGCTTAACACTGAGCAAGACCTGGCCCAATCCCGTGCTGGTTTCACACGCCGTTTTGAAATGCAGTGTTTATTTTTATCTTAACTGTTCTCAAGTTCAGCTTCAAGGGGATGTGAGAAAGCCGCAGTCCCCGCCTTCACCTGCTTTCCACCACCTGAGCTGTGTCCTCTGGTAATTACTAATGTATTCTAACCCACACATGCTGTGCTCCTTCACTGCCTTCCGATCTAACGAAGGTTAGGGCATCCAGGTGTTCCCATGGTACCCTAAGACAAACATTCCCTCCTCGCATACATTTTGTTTCCTGGTGCTAACCACTACCTCACCCTGCCCTCCTGAAAGTAAGCAATCGTAGTATTCCCCAAATCTCCATATAAATGTGCATAAAGTGTGTCCTCAAATCATGTCCTCAGTAAGCCTCAGGGCTTCTTCCTCCCTACACTGCCAGAGACTCCTCCACATCCTGCTCTTGTTCTTGAGTCATTCAAGGAAGAAAGGGAAAGAGCCAACTGCTGCACTAGGGCAACTCAAACAGCTGGAATGTCCCATAGATGAGGCCTTGGCTAGCCCAAGTTTTGGCAAGCACTCCCTCAAGTCATCTGCAAGAACTGAGTCACAGCCAACCAAGCCATTTCAGAAGTCTTATCCAGGAGGGAACTGGAACCTTCCTTGGGGTCTTCAGCAAGAGCAAGCAATCTCTTCACCTTCCTTGCCCCACCTGCCAACTGTTCGGTTCTGTTTTCATATCTACTTGAAGTTCCCTTCATGCGAATCCAAAAAACCCTGTTGTCACTCAGAGCCAAATCCAATTTCCTGGCTGCCATGCACCTCCTTGCTGGATCAGTGGCGTCCAAGGGGAGGTGTGGGGAGGTGAGTGCTCTGAGCTGGACACTTGCACTCATCCTTACTCTGCAGATACATCCATTTGATGGGCAGGCTGTGTGCCATTCAAATCAGAAATCAGCGCTCTCTGATCCTGGCCCTAATCTAACAGCCTCCCTTCACTAAGCCTCTAGTTTCTCAAGTGCCCCGACTGTCACTGCTCTCCCTCTTTTAGTCCTGCCCGCGCTGTTGTCCTTGACAGGTCTCTTCCCTTCTCTGTCCCCACTCCAACCATGCAGCGCTGCAGGACTGGGGGTTTAGCCCAGTGCTAAAGCACTGGCTTCTCGAGAGCAAGGCAAGTTTAATCTTCAGCTCAGAAGAAAAAAAGAAAAGGTAAAAATCAGAAAAATACCAAAAACAAAGCAAGACTCGTGTGCTGCTGCCCTCGGTCTAATCCTTCGAACAGAAGTTAAACGGCTAAACTGAGCTGGCTCGGCTGGCAAAGCTTGTCTAACACACAAAGGCCCTAGTTAAGGCCCCAGCACCCCAGAAACTGGGTGAGGTGACACATGCCTGCAATCCCAAGTGGCTGTTCAAGGTCTTCCTTAGAGTTCAAGGACAGCTTCTGGAGAGACCCTGCCTCAAACAAGCACGCCACACTTTATTGTTTCATGACCTTTCATTCAGCTTCTCAATACTCCAGGCACAGCTCCCCATGCTCCACACTGTTCTGCTGCTGCAGCCCCCAGACACCCCCCCCCAACCCTATCCTCACACCTCATCCTCTCCTGGCGGGCCCAGCACTCTCCTCCTGGTGAGTCTAAAGTCTCCTTACCACACAACACACAATCACTACTCCACCCACTCCACTCCACTCCTTTCCTATGCAGCTGGTAAGGAAAACCCAAATGTACTATCACAGTACCTAATAATAAAGTATTACTGGAAGACAGACAACCCTTGTCTTTCCCTCCCTGACTCAAGAGCTGCCCAGAGCTAGACTTGATGGCAGTCCCCACCAGTGCCACAGGTACACCTTCACTAGGCTGCTCTGTCTGGATCATCTCCCCCTGTTCCTGCTCTAACTCCTCCCATGGACAGACACATGCCCATGATCACCTCTACTAGCTTTAACAAGTCCTGTCCGACCTTGGGCTCATGCCCACACCACCACAATGCCTGCCTCTGTCCTGCTGGCTTGCCCAGTCTCTGCCAATTCATCACTTCCCAGTCTTGCAGTATTAGCAGCCAGCAGAGGAATGTTTATAGTGAAGAACATTCGAGGTATGTTTCTATCCTAAACTCGGTTTTCATCTAATGGGAGGGAGGTACTCCATCTTCATTTGAAGCATGATTATAAGAAAGATTTTTTTTTTAACTTTCCCTTTTCTTAAAAGGCATCCATAAAAATAAAAAGTAAAGCCGGGCAGTGGTGGCGCACGCCTTTAATCCCAGCACTTGGGAGGCAGAGGCAGGCGGATCTCTGAGAGTTCGAGACCAGCCTGGTCTACAAGAGCTAGTTCCAGGACAGGCTTCAAAACCACAGAGAAACCCTGTCTCGAAAAACCAAAAAAAAAAAAAAAAAAAAAGGTAAATAAATATATGGACCACCATTCCACAATCATACCAGAAGAGAGTTACAAGTAACCATTACCCCTGAAGAAATTTCAAGAACCATGAAACCCAACACTCCACCTAGCTCCTACGTGACAGAAGACCAGAAAGTGGTGAGCACCTCTCGGAGGGCAGTACTGATGACTGCACTCTTCATACCAGAGCACACACAGAACTTGTTGCCTGAGACCAGGCAGGCAGGCACTTAGCCTGCACCCCTCAAGCACATAGCCCCCAGTTCCCCAGCTCACCCTTTTCCAGGTGGTCAGCAGCTGCTTATCCGACATCTGCTCTGGGTAGTCCGCAATTGCAAACACGCATCCTAGCAAGAAGCCTTCTTCTGGAACTAGAGTGACAGACGTGAACAGAAATTAAAAGTGCATTTTGTTGAGTTTAGTTTGAATCCATAATCCATAATTGAACTACATTTGGAATGCTGCTACAAATATACTCATGTATCTACTAAGCCATATCATTAAAAACAAGACATAATTCTGTATTTCTCCTGAGGCAACCTGGATACTCTGTGAACACTGGCCCTCACTGCAATGTGTGCAAAGTACAAAGAAGCCTGATTATCTCACTGAACGCCTGCTTCACAGGGATGAGACTCACACTCTATGTGCAACAATTATTTGATAGGCGCTATACTCTGGGAGCACTTATGCAGGCTTTCAACTTATGGGAACATAGGAACCAGTACTAACTCTCTACTGCTGGGTCATGTCCAAAAAGCTGCTGCTGCTGCTGCTGCTGCTGCTGTTGCTGCTGCTGCTGAGGTGGGGGCTGCAGGGACAGTTGCAGGGGCTGCTGGGGTGGAACCTGGTGCTGTAGTGCCTGGGATGTTTGGTTCAAGTGTGCTGCTTGATTCTGCATCTGCTGCTGCTGTTGCTGCTGCTGGTGGTGCAGGCGCTGGAGCTGCTGTTGCTGGAGAAGGTTGTGCTGTTGCTGCTGCTGCTGCTGTTGCTGCTGCTGCTGCTGGAGCTGTGCTAACTGGTGTTGCTGTAGCTGCTGTTGCTGCAGCTGATGGAGATGCTGCTGCTGCTGCAGGGCATGCTGCTGCTGAAATGGCTGCAACTGCTGTGGAGGGCGATGCAGCTGCTGCTGAGGGTGTAATGGTTGCTGTGGAAACTGGAGCTGCTGCTGAGAAAACTGATGCTGATGGACTTGCTGAGGGAACTGATGTGATGGCGGCTGGGGGTAAGGCTGTGGCTGTGGCTGCTGTTGCTGCTGCTGCTGCTGCTGGAGCTGCATGATCTGGGGCTGGAGATGCAGGACTGGGTGCTGCTGCGGTGGCTGCTGGGGAGGATGGTGCTGCTGCAACACGTGTGTCTCGGGAGCGCCTTTAGACTGGCCAAATAGCACAGTACTGGCAGTGGGGTGTCCCTGTTGGCCATGCGCCACCTGCTGCTCTAGGTTTTTTGTGGGTGCTGAAAGAGACTGTAAGATCTAGAAAACAAAAGGAGGGCCAAGTCACTACCAATAATTGCTGAGAGGCACTGCCTGCTCCCAGGCAAGTAAGAGTGTATCCACACAGCTGATACGCCACACCGCTACATAACAGGGACCAGCCAGCAATACCACACTGCTCTCACATGTACTTTGTATTCAATATCCAGAGAGCAGGACACTGAATTACAAAACAGAAAATGGACTAACAAACACTGTAGCTTCGAAATGGTTCGGCAGGTGAAATGCTTGCTACCCAAGCCTGGCAACCAGAGTTTAAGCCCTGGAATCCACTGTACAATGAGAGAACCAATTCCCCAAAGTTGTCTCTGATGCACACACCAACCCCCCGCCCCCCCATACACACATTGGAGGCATGATTCACACACAAGGCTGCTGCATCTTAAAGAAAAGTAACAGGACAGCAAAGCAAACAAATGGCAGTACTTGCTTCTGCTTGGGCCTGAGCAGGCTTGGCTACCAGGAATGTGGCGCTCTACAGGGCAACTCCCTCCCCCTCCATACCACGGTCTGCTTCTGACTGACAAGAGTGCTCTGGAAAATGGCAGGCTCAGCTCCAGCCTCACCAACAGGTGCAACCATGTTCTATTTCCTCCTGCTTCTAGGAGTCACCACTGCTCAGATAAGGCAGGGGGTCCAAGCTTACCACCACAGCAACTCAGACTGCAGCTATGACCAGCACAGCTCCTGTTCCTCCCTCGCTGTACCCTGTCCTGGACAGTACATATGACATGAAGAGGGACAGATGGACTCTAGCAAAAAGCGCGCTTAAAGGCGAATGTTAGCTGGTTTTGATGGTACAGACCTATAATTCCAGCACTTGGGATGTGGAGGCTAGAGCATCAGGAGTTGAAGGTCAGTCCTGGCTACATAGGGAATTCAAGGCTAGCCTGAGCTACACAATTCAGTATTCTCAAATAATAACAACATTATTATTAAGAGGAGGGAGGTGCTGGGGAATAAGCCATGCCAACCTGCCATCCTGAGGTCAGAGCTCTAGAACTCACCTAAGAGCCAGACATAGAAGTACATGCACCTGCGATCTTAAATATTCCTACAGGAGGAAGGGAGGCAAAAATTGTGGCTATAAGGAAGTTCATGGTTCACATAGTCTGGCCACAAAGCAGTGAACAAAAGACCTTGTCTCGCACATGGCCAGCCTTCTCTGACCTCCACATGAACACTGTGGTACAAGCATGCCCCCCATTTATGAACACGCACATACAAAGATTTTTTTAAAATCTTTTTTAAAAAAAGATTTTGCAGTGCTTATATTAAAACTGGAATGATACAGAGATGATTGGCATGGCCCCTACACAAGAATGGCATGCATAGTCATGAAGAGCTCCATAGCTTTTGGATGGGGAAAGCTCACGAGGCCGCAACCCTACAGAAAGAACTACAGGCAAAAGGAAAGCTGAGAGCAGAATAAACAGTCTTCCCCAGAGAGGAGCACACCAATTGGTTATCTCATACAAAATGGTCAATCTGAAAACAATACACACCTAAGTAGCATACAGACTAAACAAGTTAAACTTATATACTTAGGAGTGCACAATAGAAAAAAAGTCATGGATTTGAAAGAGCAAGGAAGGATATATGAGACGGTTTGGAGGGAGGAAAAAGAAAGTGATATAATTTTATTAAAATTTCTAAAAAATAAAAACTGAGCTCATGAAAGCAACCTTTCTTTTGTTCTGTTTAGTAGATATATGCCAGCACTAAGAACAGTGCTCAGAATGTACAGTTGTTTAGTAACAAATATGCTTAAAGAATTTTTTCTTAAAGCCAATGCTCTGCCTTCCTGAGAAATCACTTACTTCCTGAAAAATCAGTGACTATCCTTCCTCAAACAAGACTAAGCAACAGATGGGACAAATACAGAGACTGCCTGCCACATGAATAGGCCAAAGCAGCCATCTGTCACACTTTTGTCCTCTGCACTATCGACCCATCCAAAATGACCCCAAAAGAGGTACCCTACAACATAAGAGCAGCTGCCAGGACAGGCATGGGGGAAATCTGCAGTCAGGCAGCCCCCCTGGACCAGCTCCTGGTTCTGAGACAGATCAGCAGACTGATGTCTATGCGGGCGCTCATATGGTAAGAAGAAAAGAAGCCCAGCGGTGGTAGTGGCGGCGGTGGCAAGCCTTTAACCCCAGCACTTGGGAGGCAGAGGCAGGCGGATCTCGGGAGTTCAAGGTTGGTCTGCTCTACAAGGCAGCCAGAGTTACACAGAGAAAACTTGTCTCAAAAACAAACAAACAAAAAAAAAAACCAACAACAATAAAAAGGAGGGCAGGAGAAGCGCGTGATGTGTGGCAGTTTCTGCACTGGGCCTAGAAGCGAAGGCTGCAATGTCCCCCTGCCGTGGCTGACCCAGTCTGTCCAAGGAGAAACAATGAAATATCAGAAGAGCTGGTCCAGGCCCGAGGACAGCCATTAGCACAGGGATCTCTCCGTCCGTGGCGGGGGACAACCACCAGAGCTCTCAGCAACCTCCTATCTCATGTACCTCGAGCTGAGAACGTAGCAACCTGAGGAACCCAAGGAAAAGAGTCCCAAAAACTTGACCATGTAACCATGCCACCTATAAGCAGCAATTTCAAATGACAGCAACTTTTAATTTCCTTTCCTTCAAATTGCATTATCCAAGTGCCTGCCGGAACATTAAAAGCACTATGGTGCATACCACACAGCCCTAGCTAGGACATACCTGTCATCAAACAGAATTTGATAGACACCTTCACCCCTCCATGTTGCTCAAAAAAAAAAAAAAAAAAATCAAACTAAGTCTCCCCTGTCTAACACTCTGAAATTCACTTTCTGTACACAGAGGTAAGGACTCTAATTTAGGAAGCACTACAGTGCCCTGAACCTACCTTTGCTGTCACTAGCTGAGCCAGTGTCACTGGAGGACAGGGTCAGAGCAGTAGCCAGCCCTCAGCTCAGTTTAGACATCAGTCTATGTCTATATGCAAACAGACTCAGGAAAGCGCACACCTAAACCTGTGTGTGTGTGAAGACAGACAGCAGGAGAATAGTTACTGCCCAGCCCTAGCCGGTCACTAGTCTGAAGGGGCGGGGGAAAGCCTGCAGTGCTGAATGCGTGGCTGCCACCCAGAACTTCTCATGGGAAGGAGGGAGGGATGCAGACTCTGGAGCAGTCAGAAGCCCCACACCTCCAGCTGGCTCCCATACCAGTTCTGACATCTCTTTAGTCAACATTTCCAAGTATCATGGGGTCCACCCGGACAGCCCAGGTCCCTCACCAGAACCCACTAACCTAATCTCCTCTCTGGTGGTGTCACCCATCTCTCAAGACCCGAGGAGAAATGCCCTCCGCTTTGCCTCCAGCCTACTGACCGTAACACCCTTCCTTCCGATTGTTACCAAGCCCATTGGCTTCCCAACACCCTCCTTGCTGTCTCTACTGTTCTTCTCCTAAGTCCTAGCCCACTTTATGGCTGTGGGGTCACATGGCCCCGGCCTCCTGGACACTGGTGTGCAGGAAGGCAGGGTGGTGCACCCTCCATACTCGGGCTGGAACCGCCCCTCTGTGCAGTCCAGTAGCCCCTACCTCACACTACCCACAAGCAGATGTGCCTGGTCCGTCAGTCAGCTCTGAGGCACCCTCACCTCTAAGCCTCCCTAGACACAGTGAAGAGCTGTGGTCAGTCAGAAAGGCATGTACCTCGTGAACAGCCAACCACCCGACATCTGGGAAGGGACAGAGACAGTCAAGCAGAGAGTAGTTAGTGGAACCTTGGGCCAACAGCGGGACTTCATTCCTAGAGGAGGCTGCAGCTTCTGGAACACTAGGTCAGAGCTTTTTGTTTATTAAAGATTCATTTATTTTCCTTTTGTGTGAAAGATTGTTTTGCCTGCACGTATGCCCATGTAACATGTACATATAGTGGCTGCTGAGTCAGAAAATGGTAGCAGATCCCCTGGTAGTGGTGTTAGACGGCTGTGAGGCGCCACATTAGTACTGGGAATCAAATGCAGGTCCTTCGGAAGAACAGTCAGTGCTCTAAACCACTTAGCCATCTCTCCAGCCCCAAACTGGACAGCTTTTACCAGATCATCACCACCCAAAAAAAGCCTGAACTCCAGCCTGCATGGAGAATCTTGAACAAATCTAGGCAAATGTAGTTTAATATTTATTTTGACAAAGGCAAAATGTGCCTGTCACTTTGACGCCTCCAAAGGTCATGGCCCAGGCTCTGTCCACCACAGGAACCATTCACTCCACAGGCTCTAGCTGTCCTCTCATCGTCCCTCCATCCAGCCTGACCTCCCTCTTATTTCCCACGCCACATTAAAGCCGTGGTTGCCAACCTAAACCGTGCTAGCCATGGCCAGCAGTACTGCCTTCCAATTTCTGAATCAATCACCTTGCAGCCCCCCCCCATTTTCCTCAGACCCAGATAACCTTCTTCTATCTATCTCGCCTCAGCAGCTGGCTTCTCTCTTCCCAACACCTAAAGAGTGCCTAGAGTCACCTGACTTCAGACTCCCTCCCCTCCACTGTCTCTAGAATCTCAACCTCCAGTATTCACTGCTCAAGTAACAGGCATGGTTTTCTAAACATCTCCAACCAACAGAGTTTTCTTAAGGCTCTCGCCATAATCAAACTCAGCAAACTGATTCTTAATACCACTTCATCCCAGGCTAGTCATAGTTCCCTACATCTACCTCAGATGGCCCTGGGTTCTGCCTCAGGTTGTTCCCACAATAAACAATAAAGGACAAATCTGCCAGACCAGAGAGGCCACCACAGCAGCTCTTGAATGGGAGGGCTTCTGGCTGCCCACGCCTGCCCAGCTGCTCCCAGCCTGACCCGGAACTCTGCTCTTGCTTCCTCCAACCTTATGCACAGTCTCATCGTGTGCTGCTGATCCCATCCACCTCCCCACTTCTCACACACCACCCGGAAGGGCCTCAGCTGTCACACCTGCATCTCTTTCAGCACGTCTCTGCTCACTCCCCAGGGCCCTCCTAGCACCTCTGTCTAGCCTCTTGGGGGACATTCTGTTTCCTTCCCCTCCCACCCCTTTATAAGGCTCCATACACCTGCCAGACGTTGGCACACCCCTGCTCAATCCTGCGAAGGCTTCCGTGAAGGAAGTGCACACTCCTCCCACGGCCACCAGGACAAAGCTCCCTGTCTTGTGGTGAGAGCACACCACCCAGTTCACTTCTTAGCATGCTCAGATGACAGCAAATCCTTGCTCACTTTAGGCTTTCACCAGATCTCTGTCCCGGGTTCTCTCTGCAACCTTTATTTAATCCAAGCCTGACTGACATCATCTTGTTCATCAGATTCTCCCAGCCATCAGTCTGATGACAGACTTTACACTGAAATACACAACAAACGTGCACCAACAGGGACAACATACAAAGGTGTGAGTCTTTAGGAAACCCACTGAGTTTGTCCCGGGCGGACACAAAATAAGGCCTCCTGGGACCATTAGCAGGTTTTTGGTTCCCCGCTGGAACAAATGTCACCATCTGCTTCATGCCTATTTAACATGACTGTAAAGAAGTTCCCACAAAAATGGGACTCATAAGTAACCTGATATGAAGGTCACAAAACCCCACTCCTGAATGCAGCCTTCAGCTTCCTGAAACTTACGTGCGCAACATTGGATGGCCGGCTGATCTGCTGGATATCGGCGTTGTTTGTGATGTTTCGCAACGTCCGGACGGCCGGGCTCCAGGTCCCAAGCATTTCTGATCGCTCAGAACTCTGGAGGTTTTGTCCAGCAGCTATTAAATTACCCCGCATGTCAGGAGGCAGGATGTCCCCGGGGACTGGTGGGACATTGGCACACAGGTTAATAAGTCCCGGCCCTTTTCCCTGAGGCAGTCTGCGCTGAGCCGTGGTTAGTGGAGGGGCTTCAGCCGGGGCCCAGTTCAAGCTCCGCTCCTGCTTTTCAGGGGATGAATCAGAAGAGTCATCAAACATCAACTCCCCTTTGGACACCTCAGCTCTGGGCTTGGGCGAGAACGGTTGGTCAGGAGGAGAGGCTTCTGGAGAGCTGGCTGCACTAGACTTCTCAGTGCTGCCCTCGTTCTGAGAGTCTTGCTCCTCGTTGTCTCCCTCCTCTTCCTCCTCTTCCTCCTCCTCATAGATGATCAGACGCGGGTGGTAAAAGGCTTCATCCTTCCTGCTCTTCTCAGACACGCAGTCCAGGACCCAGTCAGGGGTGACAATCTTAATACTTCCTCTCTTGACAGCTCGCTCGTACTTCTCCTAGACACGAAGCATAAACACACACTCAATGACGTTGTTTCCTCTTATCCTATAATCATGCATTTGAGGAGGCAGTTTTAAGTGGGCTAGGGATCCAGAGCTGGTGATGTCCCTGCCATGCTACCCAGAGGCAAAATCCATGCCTGTACCTGTGAGCTAGAGCTGCTGGAGGCACCATGGGAAGGAAGGGGCTGTGACTGCAGCAGGAAGCTTACAAGACTTGGTTGAAATGAACTCTATAGGTAACATTTTAAGTCCATACAGAGAACTAGAAATCTTCTGGAAAATGATACAGTGAAGACTTGAGATCTGTTTATACACACTAATGCTATTTATAAAGATGGCTATCCAAAACAGGATGACATTCACTAAGGGAATTTTGGGCAAGTACCTTCAAGTCAATACAGTAAGAATGATCACAGGGGTGTGTCTGTACCCCCACAAAACACAAGTTAAACATACAGTAAGAATAAAACTTAAAACCAGAACTAGGTGACAAGGTGTAATGTTAGTACTAACTGCCGACTTGGCAATTAGGAGGCAGGCCACTGCGCACCTCTGTGAGAGATTATCTTAATTATATTTATTTTTTTAAAGATTTATTTATTTATTATGTATGCAGTGTTCTGTCTATATGTATGCCTGCAGGCCAGAAGAGGGCACCAGATCTCATTACAGGTGGTTGTGAGCCACCATGTGGTTGCTGGGAATTGAACTCAGGACCTCTGGAAGAGCAGTCAGTGCTCTTAACCTCTGAGCCATCTCTCCAGCCCCCTTAATTATATTTATTAACTGACGTGAAAGGACCTAGGATTTGTGGGCAGGATGACGTCAGAACAGAGGATCCTAGACAGTCTGACTGTGGACATGTGACTAGCGCCCTACAGCTGTCACTGTGTCCTCCCTGCCAGGATGCAGCTTCTCCCTTGCACTGCTTTTGCCAAGAGTCTTTTCTTGCAACTTGGGTATGATAGTGAAGAACCGACAGGAGCAGGCCTGGGGAAGGCCTCCCAGGTGGGCTGTGACGGGAACACAGGTGTAGTGACCACCTAGTGAAGAGGGCAGACAGGCAGAGCACGGTCAGTGAGAAACGGAAGGAGAATGTCTGCCTCCTATGAAGCCTCCTGAAGGATCAAAAATAATAAAATATAAGTGGCCTTAAAACCAAGAGTGTGTAAGTACTATTCAGTCAAATCACACCCATTTTCTCCTCTCTGGGCAACACACAGCACCAAAACTAATGCCTACCTCCTTACACAGACCACACAGCCACAGCTGCAGTCTACGTTGGAGCAAGGACTGCACCAGGCTAGCGCAGGGTAGGCTAGGAAGACAGAAGAATGCTTTCAGGCTTTGAGAAGGCCAGGCTCTGTGAAACAGGTTAGTCCTTACTGGTTGAGGTTTAACCTCAAAGTCTACCCCCAACTGACTACTTTGGAAAGTAGCTCAAAGGAAATGAAAGAAAGGGGACAGAAGATGGGCCCCTTCAGTGCATCAAATGCTGAAAATGCAGCAGGGATTTTGTGTAAACAAGTTTTATAGGAGGATTAAAAGATTTGACTTCCTAGTCAGGTATAGCAAGGCAAGCATTTAATCCCAGCACTAGGGAGGTAGATGCAGGTAGATCTCTGAGTTTGAGAGTTTGGGGTCAGCCTGATCTACATAGTGAGTTCTAGGACAGCCAGAGCTGGGGGGGGGAGGGGGGTTTGAATTCCATTACATACAAGTTTAAGGAGGTGGAGGAGATTTATGCAATATGGGTCCTTGGTGGGTCAGTTACCTTTCATAGAAAGAAAAGTTTTTCACAATAATACTTCTAGACCAGCTAAGGCTACATAGTGAGACCCTGCCTCAAACAAACAAAGAAAATAACAGCTAAGCAAAGGAAAATGAGCAGAGCTGGGAATCACAAAGTCAAAAGGCCACAGCTAACAAAGGGAGTTGGTTTCAACTGCTCCTCTATGCATATATGCACATCAGGAGGGCAAACAGCACTGCACTGCCCCAGGAGCAGATGCCAAATCCTTCATTCCTCACCCACCTGTGAGTGTTTTCTGCTGATATGCACGCCAGCATGCTAGTACCTTTGTTTTTTTATTATTTTCCTCTCCACTGCAGAGGATGGAACTAAGGACCTCAAGCATGTGAGGCAAGCAAGCATCACAGGCCAGGGCAGACTATGCTACATCAGCATCAACACATGAATCTCCTGCGGACTGTCTAACGTGCTGTTGGGACCCAACGCCAAAACCCAGGTCCTCTGGAAGAACCGTTAAGTGTGCTTATTAACAACTGAACCATATCTCCAGCCTCCAGATAATCAATGCGTAAGTAAATAAATATTACAGGCTGAAATTCAAAGACTTGATATTTGACAAACCCACCCTACTCATGTATTTCCTCTTAAACTCATAACTGATAACAGACCTTTTATGACAGATACTAAAATAAGCAGTTTTGCAAACAGAATCTAACCACTGCAAAGAGCTCTGAGAACACCTTTGACTCTTATGTATATAAGAGGATGGTAAGTGCTTACCCCCTTTGGCTCTGGAACAATCAAATGTGTGCACTTCTTGTTGAGGTTCAGCTGGCAGTTGCCCCCGTGGAACGTAACCAAGGCCCACAGGGCACTTCTGTCCTCAGACGACACCTGGCAAAGAATGAGAACACAACGTCATCACACATTCAACCAGGCTTCCATTCCCACCTTATTCCACGGCAGTGTCCATACACTGCGCTCACTGGTGCTCCCCCTCAGCCGCCCAAAGGATGCTGGTAAGAAAAGTTAGAGCAGCATGCAGCCATGCTGTTACTCTCGGCAGCTTCCCAGGTAAGAAGCCTTTGCCATGTCACCAACCGAGCAAAACTTAGTGGCATCCTGGGCTGGGGAGGTAGCTGGGTGGGAGAGCTTATCTTGCATATACAAGGCCTTGGGTTAGATCCCAAGTACCACAAAGTAAAATTTAAAACTTCCCATCCATAGCTAGAGAGATGTTTCATTAATTAAGAACAACGACTGCTCTTCTAGTGGACCAGGGTTCAATTCCCAGCACCCACATGGAGGCTCAAACCATCTGCAACTCCAGTTTCAGGGACTCCAACACCCTTTTCTAGTCTCCCTAGGCACTGCACACATGTGGTGCAGACAGACACACATGCAGGCAAAACAATCATACATATAAAATAAAAATAAATAAATCTTTTTAAAATTCCATTTGCATCCCAAAAGCAGAATAGAAGATTTTGGTCTATAACAAAAATGATACCCCCCAAAACATAAACAAAAAACAAAAAAACAAAACAAAACAAAACAAAAAAAAAACAAAAAGGGCAGAAAGATTCCATTTGCCATCATTTCTAAAAATATTCAAATATCAAAATTATATTTACAGAGGCCAGTGAGATGGCTTAATGGATAAAGCACTTGTCATGCAAGCCTGATGACACCAGTCAATCCCAGGAACCCACATAAAAGCAAGAGAATCAACTTCACAAAACTGTCCTTGAACACTTGATTCCCCCCCCCAAAAAATTAATCCTAAAACTTTCGAATCATAATTACAAAGGACTTCTTCAAAATTAGCAACAAATACTAATTATGACAAGGATAAGCTATAAGATAAAAATACAGTGAGTGGAAAGCCAGAGAAAACATCCTATGGGAAAAGCCCAAAGCAGGTCTAGAAGCCCTGGTCCTTCCGCTTCAGAGATTAACAGACTCTAGAACCCGCCCTGCTGTCTGTCACTATTGCCTGCCCTCTATCTTCCAGAAACTGTCGCATGCTTCTCTAACTAACCTGACTATGACTGTGGCACACAGGACTTGCCACCAGCCCCAGGGACAATTGGGAACTGTGACAACGGCACCTGACACCCCAATGTGTCAGCCCAGGTCCAACAGCACACATACTGCCAGACCTCTGGGAAAGGGCAAGCTAACTTTGAAAGGATAAAATTTAACCTGAACAGTCAAAAGAAACACGTAAGAAATGTAATGCAGCATTCACCTTACGGTAAACACACAGACACAGGAATCTTTTCTGGATAAACCGTATTCTAAGCAGAAGACTATGGGCATTAAAGAAGCCTGACTTTGTCTCCACATTTGCTTACAGTATGGATAAACAGCTTTTGGTTTGTTTCTTTTTTCAAGCAGGGTTTCTCTGTGTAACAGCTGTAGCTGTCCTGAACTAGCTCTTGTAGACCAGGCTGGTCTTGAACTCAAGAGAGCCGACTGCCTCTGCCTCCCAAGGGCTGGGATTAAAGGTGTGCGCCACCACTGCCCGCAACAGCTGACTCCTTAATGCCAGCATGTAGCCCCTAGGGATCCAATCTTGTTCAGTCACTCCTAGAGGCTATTCTGTATTCCACACTACTCTGACTGCATGCAAACTTTCTAAAGTCATTTTCAAATCAGTACCTGACCAGGTTATTCTACAGTGGTTTCCTGAAGCACTGGCAGAATGAGGTTTAATTATCTGACAAAAGACTGATCCAATGACTCACTATGCAATTTTTAGTTAAAATGAGTGTAAGACCTAATCTAGATGCAGCTTTACCACTTGAGAGGCCATGTCAGAAAGGACCGAATTCTTTACCGGCCACAGTACCTGACCTTCACTGTGCACGTCCTGGCTCAGGCACACACCTCACTAGGCAAGGTGCATTATGCTACTATGAGAAGAACAGCAGGGCAGGGGAGCCCCAGGAGAACTGGATCACTATCTCTGACAAGCAGTCCATCAACTCCGAGTGAACGGGAACTAAAGCACTACACCCACAGCAGTGCAGACCTCTGCAGCAGTTGAGTCTGAGCTCCACACTGCACACCAGCCACCGTTGCCTCCTGTTCAAAGGATGTACTTTTATTTTCACTCTTATACTTTTCTGCAATCTCCAAATTTTGCAAAGCAGTCCCTTTAAGTTGGGAAAAGTACTTTTTTAAAAGCCATCCTTCTAAAGGCGTGTTGGCTCCAATGCTCTATTGCCTCTCCCAGTGTCAGGTTGAATCCCAGTTCTACAGCATGAGACCAAGGCAGCTTAGCCTGCCTGGCTCCTGGCCAATCACACCTAAATGCCACTGTCAACACACTAAACCAGCTGCGTGCCAAGTCCTCCTCCTGCTATCAGTCCTCAACAACCTGCCTTCTCGTCCCTTTGTCCTCCCAACGGAGAATTCCCTGACTCCCTACTACCAACTGGCGCTCCTCTCAGCTAGGCAGGGTGGTGCATGCCTGCAACCCCCGCATCTGGGAAATGGAGACAGAAATTCCAGGCCATTCTTAGTGTCTTACTTTTCTACCGCTATGGAGACACCATGACCGAGGCAGGACTGAACTGGGAACTTGCTCACTCAGAGGGTGAATCCATGACTATCATGGTGGCGAGCATGGCAGCAGGCAGGCAGGCATGACACTGGAGCAGCAGCTGAACATCTGATCCACAAGCACAAGACAAAAAGAGACTGGACCTGGTGTGGGCTTCTGCAACCTCATAGCCCATCCCCTGTAACACACCTCCTCCAAAAAAAGGCCACACCTCCTATCTTTCCCAACAGTTCCACCAACTGAGGACCAAATATTCAAATATATGAGCCTACAAAGGTCATTCTCATTCAAACCATGACACTTAGCTACACAGAAAACTCGAGGTTAAATGGGAATATATGTTTGGACTCTGTCTCAAACAGTGAGAGAAAGACAGAGACAGAGTGTCAGTCTTCCCTTCTAGGCTCCACACACAAGAAAGAAAGCCATGAACCCAGCTTCCATGGTCTCCTCCTCAGCCAGCTAACACTGCTTACTAAAGACTAAGGTCCCCGTATGGTGTGAGCCCTGAGTTGATCTGCTACCTCTCACAGGGCCCAGTACAGTCAAGAAATGTGATTGACAAGGAACTGTTATATTTGCAGCCTACTCGATCTGAGCTGCACTGGTCTTCAAATTCCTGACTTCCTCTCCACACTACAGAGCTGTCTGCCTGCAATAATACCAACACCAAGGAGATATTTCTGTGGGCAGGAGGCCTCTTCCCCCTATCCCTGGGAGAATACAGAAAGAAATGTTAGTTCTTCCCTAACACCACAACAAGACAGAAACCTATGGAACCAAGCAGGCCTTGGCTCAGGTGGCCACGCCTGGGTGTATGCGCATGGGCTCATACAGTTATTGATGATGAGATGCCAAGCCTTGTGGAGTCCCCATGCAGGACAGAGCCTAATCATGAGGATAGCTATTGTGTTGTCCCTACCTGCACTGTGTGTTACAGAACACTGTCTTCCTCCATGTGTCTGGCTATGTGCGGCCTGTTCGTCTCCCAAGGGACGAGTTATACTGTAATTAATGTGCACCCCAAGCCCCTGAGCTTCCCATTGTACATATTTGTTAACATAGCTTTTTTTTTTTTTTTTTTTTTTTT